GCGGACTTTTTACAAGACATAGCTTTAAGGAAGGAGAAGGATTAAAAAGGTAACGGATGAATAAGAAGTGTTGATCCCGTTATTGGCAGCTTTACGTAGATAGTAGTTTCAATAAAATTTCAGCATTCATAGCGTCTACGTCTTTGTACCCAACGCGACTGAAAGAAAATGAGTGCCTGTTGACAACAGGTAAAGTGAATTGAAACGTCATTTGAGAAGGAAGCCGTACTACAATGACGTAGGAGTCGCAGTACTCCCTGATGCCTTCCTTGCAGCTGTCAACCTGCAAGGGCCGAATGCCCTTCTCCGAGGCGATTTGTGTCACCCTATCGTCCCACAGCTTATTTAAGCGTTTTATCTCCTCGCTAAGTCTGACATACTTCCTCGCCAGCCCAATATGTCTACGGTACAAATCCATCGCTGGCTCTAAGCGATCAGTGGGGTAAACGGGCTACAGTGAAACAAAACAAAGCTCACAAATAGCCAGCTACATCCTCACATCCGCCGAATTTGACCACTGACCATTCGCTTGTGAATGCGAAAATTCTTGATTTTTGAAAAGCTACTGCAAATGCTGAATTTGAAAGACGCAGCCGCATTGACAGGCTTCTTCGTGTTTCAGGCTTCTAGATCGAAGAATACATAGCTAGGCGTAGAAAGGGGAAAAATTTTATTTTCCACCTCTTTTTACACTTGATTTCTCACTTCCAACATCGTTCCCTTGACACGATCTTATTACCTGAGCTCGTGCGTCACATATACGTGATGCCTTTAAAGTGGATCAAATGAGAGGAATTGCACCAATGGTCATACATATCGTAACAGTAAAACGTAGTGTTTGATGACTGATTTTTTTCCGTTATTACGTTCATTTGATGCTTGACGGCGGCCATGAGGACGCTTTGTATGCAAGTGTAGCGACTCTCACGGGGTACGATAATTGGATTTCTCTTTGGTACCTTTTTGGTAATATTGGGCGTTGGATTAATGGCCTAATTCTGTTGTCTCCCATGTCGTCGCTAGTAATTATCATCGGCAGTAGCGGAGGTACACTGCGTTCCGTCCCCACCGCCGTCATTACCACCTAATTATGTTACCA